GTGCCCCTCGATCTTCAGAGAGTGTAGAAAGAAAAGAAGAAAGTGTAGAAGAAAGAAGTTAGAACTGAAAGGTGTGATTTTGGAAGTGGCAGAGCGCTCTATTTATAGGCATCAGGCGTCGCCGGAATGGCCAGTTTCAAATTCGGAACGGCTCGTTCTGGACTCTGACGGCATGTGTAAAATTCACATCCAGAACGACCTGTTCTCAAACTAGAACAGCCTGCTCTGGGGTTGCACTTAACCCACAACAGCCATAACTGGAACGACTCATTCTCAATTAGGGTTATAGGCCTTTTTTGTGATTTGGAACGCTCCGTTCCAATTTGGGAACGCCCCTTTCTAATTTGGGAACACCCCGTTCCCATCTAAAAATTGTAGATAATTTTTGTATTTTGGAACGGCCCGTTCCAATTTGGGAATGGCCCGTTCTGGGCTACAAAATCACTCTCGTTTTAGTAGTTTGGAACAGCCCGTTCCAATTTGGGAACGACCCATTCTGGGCTACTAAATCACCCCAAATTCTATGAGAAATCATCATTATTAGCAAATCTGGTTCATCAAAAGACAAATTAGCAACTTCATCCCTACAATGTCCCACATTTTAATCTCCCCTTGAGTGTACGTTGGGGAATTTCTAGAAATGAGGTATAGATTGTTATAAACAAATAATAGATTTTGTGCTCTTTAAGGTATCATCTTTTTCTTTTCCAAAGAATATATGAAAAAATATGTATACCAATTTCATTTCGTGTTTGCGCAACTCTAGTTCTCCTACAGTGTATGCACCTCTCTAGTTCTTGTTATGTGTTTGCGCATTTGTGTTTTTGGTTTTCGTTCTAGGTCTACGAGTGTCTGGTTTTTGTTCTAGTTCTTTTAAAGTGTTGTGCATGAACAATGTGAAGTAGCCACCAAGATTATGCATCAAATTGACCTATATCCCTTAAAGAGTCAACATCATCAAAGCTTTCTCTTCCATTGGAAAAATTCACAAACTTTAAATTTACTTGTGTCGTTACATCTATGTCCACAAAGGACCGCTTAAAGCATATGTTTCTTTCAATAGTAAGTTCCAAATCTTGATGTGGGGGGAGAGTGCATTCCATTCATGAGTAACTAGAAAAAATTAAAGACAGAATCAAAGGACTTTCTCGTGCCATGACGGTGTAGCAGTTCCACTTACTAGAGGTTGAACAACGTTCTGATTCTTCGATTGAACAATGCTCTAGTTCTTTGGCATAAAGACATTCTAGTTTAATGTTTTCATTATGTGTTTGCACATCTTTGGCTTTCATTGCGTGTTTGCGCATCTCTAGTTCTCCTTTAGTGTATGCGCCTCTCTCGTTCTTGTTTTGTGCTTGCGCATTTGCATTTCTGGTTTTCGTTCTAGGCCTGCAAGTGTTTGGTTTTTGTTCAATCATATGCATTCTAGTTTTTGTACTGCCACTGCACGTTTTTGTTCTTTGGTTTTTGTTCGCTTCCATGAAGGTTTAACTAAAGAGAGAAAAGAGAATGCTTCTTTTCTTCTTCTTCTTTTTCAACAAGATTATTTTCTGACCCAAAGACATAAAGGCGTGTCCATGCTTCATAGATTGAAATAGTGAAACTTATAGAAGATGGTTGTTGTCACACCCTTACTACCCCAACACATATATAAATATTAATCATGTAAATAAACTAAAGAATAAAATTTTCAACATTGGTAAAAGGGTTCACATAAAACTTCATAACTGTTATTTCTTCACATTTAGTGTTTACAAAATAACTAGAAATAAAACTTGGAAAGTAAAATTTAAGAGTTTACAAATTGTTTTCAAAAGACAAGGTATAACTCAAAATACATATAAAAAACTATATCCTAGCATTCTCTGCCCCGATGTCACAATATCATAGCACACCCACAATTCAACTATTGGCACCATAGATGCCATTCAAGCCGGATCTTCCTCACCTAAAACATCCACAAATCGTACGTTGAGAAAAGAAAATATCTATATATATAGTACATAAGAAAACACAACATATTATCTCATTATAACTTAATATTCATAAATATTTCAACATATCATAATTCAATCAACATCGTTATCACGTCATAATTCTCAATCACGCCAATTTGCACTTCACACTATACCAAGGTCACGCTACCCATTTAACAGTTCAAGGCCGTTAACTATTTTTTTTACATGTTTTTAATAACTGATTTTACATTGCAGATGCTCTTGGGGTGACCTATTTGGTGAATTCTTGCTTGCAAGCATGCAAGAAAAAGGAATAATACATTAGAAGAATCAGAAAGAAAAATGTTCTCGATAGAAATGATATTTAAATATTATTGTAATAAACAAATTTTAAATAATGACTAATGTTGGTTATTTATTTTCAAAAATATTTTGAATTTATTTTCCTTTTTTCTTATGTTCCATGCTTATGATAGTAAAAATACTTGCATACTTAAAAATCAAATTAAGGATGAAACAATTTAACTAAATGAGCCAAATAAACAATGTATATAGAAAATATTGTTAATTAATAATATATAAAAAGCTTGAGAAAGTTTGATACGTACGAGCTTGGCAACACACACTTCACAATGAAACACCCCTCAAATTTGAAGTCTCAACAACTCCACTTCACATGATGACATTTCATACAACTCCCGGTTGGTTAGAACCTTTCATTGGTCAGAATCCTTCATGAGTAGCCCTTTATGAGATGTACATCTACCTTTAGGATCAACAATTGACACCACAAATCAACATAAGACTTTTTAGCGTGTTTTGTCAGGAAACTTCCCAGAAGGCACTTCACACAAACCAATGTTAGTCACAACCCCCTCAAACCAACATAAGACCTTTTTAGCGTACTTTGTCCTCACTTGCACACTTTTTTGGAAAACTTCTCAAAAGACATTTCACACAACTCCATGTTAGTTAGAACCTTTCACCAGTCAAAACCCTACATGAGTAGCCATTTCTGAAACATTTATCCACCTTTTGGATCAACAACTGACCCCACAAACCAACACAAGACTTTTCAGCGTGCTTTATCCTCACTTGCACACATTTTGGGAAACTTCCCAGAAGGTCACCCATACCTAAATTGCTATAAGTCAAACCAGTTTAACTATGAAGTTCTTATGAGATGGGTTATTGAAAACTAGATTTATTGTTAGTAAAGGTAGAACAATTTAATTCATTTCAGTCATCCTCAATTGTACAATCTCATACTTATACAAATCTCTGGATCCTTCTCATTCTGATATGTCCAAGTTGCAGATTTACTGGATGAGTCTCAAAGTTCAGCTATCTTCCAAGATCTAAGAGACAAACTCACTATAGATTAACAATCCATGCTGAGTCTGAAGAGGGATAAAAAGGATATCAAGTCAACATTTTGTTGAAACTGTTATAGTTTGTTATCTAATTGTGAATAAGTTGACATCATAGTTGTTATTCTCTAAGTTAGTTTGATTGCCTTCTCTACTTGTATATAAATACTCTTGTATTGTGTTTCCTAATATGATAGATTCATATTTCAGATTCAATCATTTCTCTTCTTCGATTATTCTCTCACAACATGGAATTTACCTTGCTAATGAACATGGTGTTATAGATGTTGAGGTTCGATCAAACTCTTCCAAAATCTATGAATCACGAATTCAAACATGACACAGGGACACAATGTGAAACCTTTGTAGTGTATTGTGATGCCTCTAAGATGGGTTTAGGAGGGGTGCTTATGCAGAAGGGAAAGGTAATAGCTTATGCATCTAGGAAATTGAATACCCATGAACAGAACTACCCTACCCATGACCTTGAATTAGCTGCAGTAGTATTTGTTCTTAAGTTGTGGAGACATTACTTGTTTGGATCTAGATTTGAGGTTTTTAGTGACCAGAAAAGTTTTAAGTACTTGTTTGACCAAAAAGAATTGAATATGAGGCAGAGGAAATGGTTAGAGTTTCTTAAGGAAATGGTTAGAGTTTCTTAAGAATTATGATTTTCAACTTAATTACCACCCTGGCAAGGCTAATGTTGTAGTTGACGCTATAAGTAGGAAATCTTTGAGAATGTCCTCTTTGATGATTAAGGAGTTGCGTATGATTGAGGAGTTTAGAGATATGAGCTTAGTGTGTGAGCTGACCCCTAAGAGTATTAAGTTGGGAGCCTTGAGAGTGACTAATAGCTTGATAGATGAAATTAGAGAAGGTCAAAAGGTAGATCCTTCTTATTGAGTCAAGTAGAAAAGTTGAATCAAGGTGTGGAGAGTGAGTTTAGAGTTGGAGTGGATGGGGTATTGAGATTTAAGGACAGGTTATGCATTCCTAGTGTGCCTGAGCTTAAGAGAGCAATCCTAGAAGAAGGTCATAGGAGTGGCCTTAGTATCCATCCAGGAGCCACTAAGATGTACTAAGACCTTAGGAAAATATTTTGGTGGCCTAGGATGAAGAAGGAAGTAGAGGAATTTGTGTATGCCTGCCTGATATGTTAGAAAGCTAAGGTAGAACATCAAAGACCTTCAGGTTTGTTACAACCTTTAAATGTGCCTGTGTGGAAGTGGGATAGCATCTCTATGGATTTTGTAGTTGGGTTACCTAGGACAGTGAAGAACTTGGATGCTATATGGGTCATTGTGGGTATATTAACTAAGTCTGCCCATTTTATTCCCATTAACATTAGATACCATTTGGAGAGGTTAACCAAGTTGTACATAGGTGAGATTGTGAGGTTGAATGGAGTTCCTACTAGTATAGTTTCTGATAGAGATCCTAGGTTCACCTCTAGATTTTAGGAGAGCTTGCATAAGGCTTTAGGTACTAAACTTAGATTGAGTTCAACCTATCATCCCCAAACAGATGGCCAAACTGAGAGAACCATACAATCTTTGAAAGACTTCCTGAGGGCTTGCATTTTAGAGCATGGGGGTAGTTGGGATAGTTTCTTACCTTTGATAGAGTTTACTTACAATAATAGCTACCATTCTAGTATTGGGATGGCCCCTTATGAGGCTTTGTATGGTAGAAGATGTAGGACACCCCTATGATGGGTAGAGCCTGGAGAGAATGCTATATTAGGACCTGAGATAGTTTAACAGACTACTGAAAAGGTTATGATGATCCAGGATAAAATGAGAGCATCCTAGAGTAGGCAGAAGAGCTACCATGATAAAAGAAGGAAAGACCTTGAGTTTAAAGAGGGAGATCATGTATTCCTTAAAGTAACTCATTGGACTGGAGTTGGTAGAGCACTTAAATCTCGCAAGCTTACTCCACGATTCATTGGTCCCTACCAGGTCCTTAAGAGAATTGGTGATGTAGCTTACCCACGTAGTACTTTCTTCAACATTTCCTCCCCAAACAACCTTGACTAAAGGAATTTCCTTACCTCTTAGTTGCTTTACCCTCTTATCCTCAATCCTCAAAGATATAGTTTCATAGGTGAGGTTATCCTTTAACTGAATGTTGTCGGATTCAACAATATGAGATGGGTCCTGAATGTATTTTCTAAGTTGGGAAACATGAAAGACATTAAGAAGATTTGATAAGGATGGAGGTAACGCAATTTGGTAAGCTACATCACCAATTCTCTTAAGGACCTGGTAGGGACCAATGAATCGTCTTTTTCTATCATGGATGTTTTCTATTATTTTTTTTTTTGTTCCTTTGCATGAAGTTGGCGGTGACATAGTATGGTCGAAATTAAACTATTGTCATTTACTCAACAAATTCAAATTTCATTTCGACATATATACCTACAATTTCACAAATTATAATTTCTAACATATTTAATTGAAGATGATTTATAAAAAAAATACTTCTCAATGATGTAGTTATCACAATCAAAGTATTATTTTTCCCCTGGATTAAGTCTTTGGATTGTGAAGCTTCAACACCACTTAAGGCAAACACCCTTCTTGTCGCTCTAGGTTTGCTAGCACTCCCTCCAACCTCTGTTGTCTTGTTCTTGGGGCAATCACGAGCTCTGTGTCCCTTCTCTTGACAATTGAAGCATGTTATTACTCTGGGCAATAAACACTCATATGCCCTATGACCTGGCTTCCCAAAATTGTAGCAGTTGTTGTGTGGAACAGAACCCAAACTCCCTCCTCTAGAAATTTGGCTAGCTTGGCTCCTTTCTTGCACAGAACCTTGATTATTCACCTTAGAACTTGAGTCCCCAACAGACTTGGTGTAAGGTTTACTCTTACTAGATGAACCAAACTTATTATTCCTCATGGGGCCTCCACTCTTATAATGAGTTACCCTAGCACGGTTGTCCTCATCATATACTCGACACTTGTTTACCAATTCATGATAGTGAGTGATCCCTTGATAATTGAAAACTTGTTTAATCTCAGGGCGAAGACCACTCACAAACTTCACACATTTTTCCTCCTCATTGCCCACACCATCATACATAGGACAAAATCTGACCAAGTCTTCAAACTTAGTCACATACTCAGCCACAGAAGCCTCTCCTTGCTTCAATTCAAGGAATTCCACCTGTTTCTTATGTCTCACATCTCGGGAAAAGTATTTCTCCAAGAACAGGCGCTTGAAATTCTCCCAGTTCACTTGGGTACCTACAGCTATCATTCTTTGTAAAGCACCTTGCCACCAGATGCCAGCCTCTCCAGAAAGCATGAAGGCAGCCAAAGTCACCTTCTGTATCAAAGGACATCCCATAGCTTGGAATATCTTTTCAACTTCGAAAATCTAGTCAGCAGCTCCATCAGGATTATAACCCCCACGGAAGCTTGGTGGATTATTTCGCTGGAATCTCTCCAACCAATCTACCTCTGGTTGTTGGTTCATATTACCAAGAGCCTGAGCCATCGCTTGTAGAGCATCAGCGATTGCACGATCGTTCCTACCTCCTGCCATTACTTTTCTGATCACCAGAAAAGTTACCAATTATACTATAAGTAAACAACACACTTAATCAATCATAGCACTAACATATCAAGAAATTCCACAATCAATTCATTCCATCAATTATCTACCAACCAAGCATAATAGACTCATAACTCACAGCCGATTGGATCGACCTGCTCTGATACCACTAAATGTGACACCCTTACTACCCCAACACATATATAAATATTAATCATGTAAATAAACTAAAGAATAAAATTTTCAACATTGGTAAAAGGGTTAACATAAAACTTCATAACTGTTATTTTTTCACATTTAGTGTTTACAAAATAACTAGAAATAAAACTTGGAAAGTAAAATTTAAGAGTTTACAAATTGTTTTCAAAAGACAAGGTATAACTCAAAATACATATAAAAAACTATATCCTAGCATTCTCTGCCCCGATGTCACAATATCAGAGCACACCCACAATTCAACTATTGGCACCCTAGATGCCATTCAAGCCGAATCTTCCTCACCTAAAACATCCACAAATCGTACGGTGAGAAAAGAAAATATCTATATATATAGTACATAAGAAAACATAACATATTATCTCATTATAACTTAATATTCATAAATGTTTCAACATATCATAATTCAATCAACATCGTTATCACGTCATAATTCTCAATCACGCCAATTTGCACTTCACACTATGCCAAGGTCACGCTACCCATTTAACAGTTCAAGGCCGTGCTCACCCCTGATAAAACACTGTGCCAAGGTCACGATTCCCCTGTAGCATATCTCGCTCAAGGTCGTGCTCACCCCCGACATGTTATTCAAGGTCACGATACCCACGTAACAATCTAAGGCCGTGCTCACCCCTGATATAACATTGTACCAAGGTCAAGTTACCCCTAACCTAGGATCGTGCTCACCCCTGACATGTTAACCAAGGTCACGATACCCATGTAACAATCTCGGGTCGTGCTCACCCCTGGTCATAGGTGTTAAGAACCACAATCACATCTCATTCACATCTCATACAACATCTCATAGTTCAATTCCATACACGCATCAGATAACTCCAAAATGGGTTTCATACATCTCAAGCAATTCACATCTAAGACATCAATTTTATCAAGTAATATAGCAATAACATTCATAAGTTAATATAATAATCAATGGAATTATCAACTTAATACAATCTTAATATAAACGATAAAATTCCTAATTATTCCAAAACCTATCTCACAAGCACTTTTCTATAGTTTCGTTCTCCCTCTCAGATCATCATTCTTACAAATTAAATATGCATTTCTAATCCTCAACACATACAGAATCAATGGGATCATCAATTTCTCAAACAGAAATATTCCAATTTTTCCAAAACCTAGCTTACCGGCACTTTTCTATAATTTCGTTCTCTCTCCCAGAGCATCATTTTTACAAATAAAATATATATTCATAATTCTAAATTCATACAGAATTATATAAAATCAATAATTCTCTAAATAGAAATAATTATAAAATTACTCATAATCCTAAGGGTTCTTCTTCTACCTAATTCTCTTATGTAACTCTACATATAAATAGGCCCATTTTCCCCCGTACCTGGATATGTAGAAGCTGAATTTATACGAGATTTGGTTGGTCTCCCTCGCTGGGTTTTCCTCGGTCTAAAGCAGAAAGTAGATGGAAAAGAAGAGAGCAGAAGAAAAGGAATCAGAAAATGAGAGGTGTGCTTTTTAGGAGTGGCAGAGAGCTCAATTTATAGGCATCCAGCTTCGCCAGAACGGCCCGTTCAGGATCCTTGAATCATGGGTAAAAATCACACCCAGAACGGCCCATTCTCAAACCAGAACGGCCTGTTCTGGTGTGCATTTATTACTCACAACTGCCATAGCCCGTTCCTACTTAGAGTTTAAGACAGTTTTTAATAGTCCGGAACGGCCCGTTCCAACTTGAGAACGACGCGTTCTAGGCTATTAACTCACATACAATTTGGTAGTTTGGAATGACCCGTTCCAATTCTGGAACAGCCCGTTCCAAGCTACTAAATCACATACATTTTGGTAGTTTGGAACAGCTCGTTCCAATTCTGGAACAGCCCGTTCCAAGCTACTAAATCACCCCTATACCTTTAAAAAATTACCAAAATACCCTCAATTAAAATAAAATAAAATAAATAAATAAAAAATGAAATAAAAATTGGGGTGTTACAGTTGTCTTGATAATCATCTCTATCACATTGTTCGGACTATCAAAAAAACCACTGCTCATCCAATGAAAGCTTCAATCAAGTGGGTGTTACACGAATGCAACAAAATTGCATATTATTTTGCGAAATATGGTTTGTCTATGGCACATGGTCCTATTATTTTTCTTTTGGTACCTCCATATTTATCTTTTGAACTTTTTGAATGTTGTTTTGGGTATTTGCGCCTATTGGTCGACAGAAAATAAAATAAACTAAAGTTATGAAAATTTTTATTATATTTCGTCTTCCCATTTATTTATTCTAGAAGTATTTATAAGTAATTTATTTAAACAAACGCTTGGTCCTTACACTTAGTGTTCTCTTTTGTTTTATTTTAATTCCTATACATGCACAATATTTATATTTTAGTCATTATATCTAAAAATTGGATGCATTAGTCTTTGTACAAGCAAAATTTATACATTTTGTTGATTTATATTTTAACTATAATACTATTTTGATTTTTTAGTAAATAATTATCTTTTTTAATAAAGAGTAATAAGAATTAAAAATTAATGAAAAAATTTAAACATAAAATTCTATTTTTGCTTACAAAAACATATATATAATGGTCATACAGATACTTATTTTATTTGGTTCAACAACTAATTTTACTAACTTATTAAATAAGTACTAACTAGAATTTTAATTTGAGAAATCAAGGGATAAAATATTGTATATTATAAATTAGTACATTGGTACAATGTACAAGTTATTACATTAATTTTAAAATAAAATTATATACATTAGTTTTTTTATTAAGTGCATGATTATTTTTCTTTATTAGAATATATTCTTTACTATTTTTCTATTTACTAGTGGGAAAAGAAGCACATATTTACTTTTGAAAGAATCTTGAAAAAAATGATATCCAATACAAAAATAAAAGTCAAAAGGTTGGATATCAAAATCTATCCACTTTATAATAAGCATAAATTTATTTTTAAAGGAAATTTGAAAAAAATTGTTCTATAATATTTAATGCACATATATATATATTTTATTTCAATTATAAAAACCAAATCTTGAAGGACCACAAAATCTTTTAAAATCCTAATATAAAATGATATCGAAAAGTTAAATTATTTGGCATGCATTATTCTATGCCTATAAATTGATCTTTCTTTTACTTGAAACATCACAACCAAAGTACATAATATTGAATTAGATTGTTAAGACTCTATTGAGAGAAATGGCAAAAAATGGGATTCAAACTGTTGGAGTGATGATTATAGTCATGATTATGCTAACATTTGCACAAGCTGATGTATATCCAACATCTTCCCACATTAAACCAGACAATTTTTTTGGAAGGCTTAAGTGTCTTGGCAAATGTGCTGCAGAATGCATTATTGTTGCAAAATTCAAAGCTTTGTATCCAGTATGCGTTGCTACTTGTACTTCAAAATGTAATGGAATGCCAATTGATGTTGCTATGGATTGTATTAGTAGTTGTGACATGAACAACTCCATTAACATCGATACTGGAATAGTTCATTTACTTTCAATGCTCTTTTTATTAGGTTACAATCTTATTATTTATAAATGAGTTAACTATTTTTTTTACATGTTTTTAATAACTGATTTTACATTGCAGATGCTCTTGGGGTGACCTATTTGGTGAATTCTTGCTTGCAAGCATGCAAGAAAAAGGAATAATACATTAGAAGAATCACAAAGAAAAATGTTCTCGGTAGAAATGATATTTAAATATTATTGTAATAAACAAATTTTAAATAATGACTAATGTTGGTTATTTATTTTCAAAAATATTTTGAATTTATTTTCCTTTTTTCTTATGTTCCATGCTTATGATAGTAAAAATACTTGCATACTTAAAAATCAAATTAAGGATGACACAATTTAACTAAATGAGCCAAATAAACAATGTATATAGAAAATATTGTTAATTAATAATATATAAAAAGCTTGAGAAAGTTTGATACGTACGAGCTTGGCAACACACACTTCACAATGAAACACCCCTCAAATTTGAAGTCTCAACAACTCCACTTCACATGATGACATTTCATACAACTCCCGGTTGGTTAGAACCTTTCATTGGTCAGAATCCTTCATGAGTAGCCCTTTATGAGATGTACATCTACCTTTAGGATCAACAATTGACACCACAAATCAACATAAGACTTTTTAGCGTGTTTTGTCAGGAAACTTCCCAGAAGGCACTTCACACAAACCAATGTTAGTCACAACCCCCTCAAACCAACATAAGACCTTTTTAGCGTACTTTGTCCTCACTTGCACACTTTTTTGGAAAACTTCTCAAAAGACATTTCACACAACTCCATGTTAGTTAGAACCTTTCACTAGTCAAAACCCTACATGAGTAGCCATTTCTGAAACATTTATCCACCTTTTGGATCAACAACTGACCCCACAAACCAACACAAGACTTTTCAGCGTGCTTTATCCTCACTTGCACACATTTTGGGAAACTTCCCAGAAGGTCACCCATACCTAAATTGCTATAAGTCAAACCAGTTTAACTATGAAGTTCTTATGAGATGGGTTATTGAAAACTAGATTTATTGTTAGTAAAGGTAGAACAATTTAATTCATTTCAGTCATCCTCAATTGTACAATCTCATACTTATACAAATCTCTGGATCCTTCTCATTCCGATATGTCCAAGTTGCAGATTTACTGGATTAGTCTCAAAGTTCAGCTATCTTCCCAGATCTAAGAGACAAACTCACTATAGATTAACAATCCAAGCTTAGTCTTAATGTTTATAAAAATTATATCAAGTCAACATTTTGTTGAAACTGTTATAGTTTGTTATCTAATTGTGAATAAGTTGACATCATATGTGTTATTCTCTAAGTTAGTTTGATTGCCTCCTCTGATTAGTTTTTTTTATTGAGTGCATGATTATTTTGCTTTATTAGATTATATACTTTACTATTTTTCTATTTGCTAGTGAGAAAACAAGCACATGTTTACTTTGAAAAGAATCTTGAAAAAAATGATATCCAATACAAAAATAAAAGTCAAAAGGGTGGATATCAAAATCCATATTCTTTATAATAGGCATAAATTTATTTTTAAAGGAGTTTTGAAAGAAGATGATTGTTAAATCTAGGGGTAATAGTGTCCAATACAAAGATGGAAACGAAAATGGTGATTACCAAAACCTATCCCCTTCACTAATTACTAAAGAGGTTGAGATACTTTGTCTCTCTAGTAATTACACATAGACATGATATTAGAAAATTATGAATAGTTATTTAGATAGGATATAAAAAAAAATTACATTTGAGGGGTATAATAATCTACTAAATAGTGGAGGCCAAAAGTGGTTGCATACTCCAATCCCTTTTATTAATAGGTATACATTAGCATGAGTTTCTTTTAAAGTATTGCAATTGAGATTCTTAACTTTATAAAATATTTGCGACTGATTTTATCCGTAGCTACATCAATTATTTAGCGACCGAATTAGCGACTGATTCATAAAATGTTTTTATTAAATAAATACAAAAAATAGCGACGAAAATTGCTACCAAAAAATTCGGTCGCAAAATTGGTCTCCAGAAGTTAGGAGACCAAAATTTTAGCGACGGATTTGTATTGTCTAGCGACTGATTTTTCGGTCGCTAAATTGCGACGGAAAAAATTTCGGTCGCTATTTGAAATAGCGACCAGGGTTTTAGCGACAGAATTTTTCGGTCGCTATTTCGGTCGCTGAATGAAATAGCGACTGAATTTACCTAAATAGCGACCGATTTTGGTGGTAGCTAAAACTGAATTTTTTGTAGTGCTTCTTCTTTTTCTTCTTCTCAGATTCTTGGCTTTTTAGAGCCAATCTTCAGGTGAGAGAAGCTAGAATGTAGATTGTTTAATTTTAGGAGGATTTTATCCGTAGCTACATCAATTATTTAGCGACCGAATTAGCGACTGATTCATAAAATGTTTTTATTAAATAAATACAAAAAATAGCGACGAAAATTGCTACCAAAAAATTCGGTCGCAAAATTGGTCTCCAGAAGTTAGGAGACCAAAATTTTAGCGACGGATTTGTATTGTCTAGCGACTGATTTTTCGGTCGCTAAATTGCGACGGAAAAAATATTATATAATTTAAGAAAAAATAACTAATATAAATAGAAATATAAATTATAAATTGTTATATTAGTTTTTATTTGTTAAAAAAATTCAATCTTTAATTTGTTTCTTACGTTTAATAATATTATTTTTTATTTTAAAAGGTATCAATTAAGTTTTTATTTATTAAAATGTGTTGAATTTGATTTATTTTAAAATTAAATTTGCTCTTTTTTTTAAAAATATTTGAAGTTAAAAGGAAAAATACTGATTAAATTAATTTTTTTAAAATTAAAGACGCAATTCAACCTGCTTAAAATAAATTTAATAATTAAATAATAAAATTAATTATTGAACTTTTTAAAAATAAGAGAACCAAGTTTAACTTAAAAAATTATTAAATAAATAACTGATGTTATATATTGAATTTGAACAATTTAACCATTAAATCAAATGTTTTGAAGTTATAGATCAATTTATAGAATTTTCAAAAAAATATTGAAAATTATTTGATCCATTATATAGATTCAAAATTTAAATATTTTTATGATTATCTATTAATTTGAATTAATGAAACAAAGTATCAAATAATTTAGCTAAAATCTCTCGCAATTTAGCTACGACTTAGCTAGAAATTATTTTTTATCGCTAATTTGTCGCTATTTAGCGAGGGAATAGCAAGACAAAAAGATCGGATTTAACTATTACACAATTTTGATTTTTTAATAAATAATTATGTTTTTTAATAATGAGTAATAAGAATTAAAAATTAGTGAAAAAATTTAAACATAAAAGTCTATTTTTGCCTTAAAAAAATATATATATGATTGTCATACAGATACTTATTTTATTTGGTTCAACAACTAATTTTACTAACTTATTAAATAAGTACTAACTATTTTAATTTGAGAAATCAAGGGATAAAATATTGTATATTATAAATTACTACATTGGTACAATGTACAAGTTATTAAATTACTTTTAAAATACAATTATATACATTAGTTTTTTTTATTGAGTGCATGATTATTTTGCTTTATTAGATTATATACTTTACTATTTTTCTATTTGCTAGTGAGAAAACAAGCACATGTTTACTTTGAAAAGAATCTTGAAAAAAATGATATCCAATACAAAAATAAAAGTCAAAAGGGTGGATATCAAAATCCATATTCTTTATAATAGGCATAAATTTATTTTTAAAGGAGTTTTGAAAGAAGATGATTGTTAAATCTAGGGGTAATAGTGTCCAATACAAAGATGGAAACGAAAATGGTGATTACCAAAACCTATCCCCTTCACTAATTACTAAAGAGGTTGAGATACTTTGTCTCTCTAGTAATTACACATAGACATGATATTAGAAAATTATGAATAGTTATTTAGATAGGATATAAAAAAAAATTACATTTGAGGGGTATAATAATCTACTAAATAGTGGAGGCCAAAAGTGGTTGCATACTCCAATCCCTTTTATTAATAGGTATACATTAGCATGAGTTTCTTTTAAAGTATTGCAATTGAGATTCTTAACTTTATAAAATATTTTTT